CTCCCCCTCTTCCTCCCTTCCTCCCTCTCTCTCCCACTCTCTCCTTTCTCTCTCACTCTCGCTCTCTCTCTAGCTCTCTAGCTCTATCTCTATCTTTCTCTTACTCTCTAACCCTCTCTAGCTCTCGCTCTCCAGACTCTCTTTCTCTTCTGCTCATTCTCGCTCGTTCTCACTCTCACTCGCACTTTCGCTTTCTCTTTCTCTCGCTACTCCTTGCTCTCAAGCTGTAAAGGAATCGAGCAGGCACCATTACTACCAGTGTGTCAATAACACACAGACATATGTTACGTGATAGGCTAGTGTAGTGCGGCTAGTAACTCATGGTGTGAAATGTGTTCATTAGCAGTATTAGTTTAGACACAGTTTATTAACAGTTTAAAAGAAATACGCGTGTTTAGGTAATTGTTCGACTGCCCACATGTTGGAGAAACGTGTTGTAAACATAACTGACACTATTAACTACAACAATCACAAATTAATTAGCACTGAAAGTATTAATTAAGGCAGCAAGTACAAATGGGCCAAAGATGGTAAGCTCATTTACAAACGCAATATTTACTATGTTGTTGACAGACGGCATGGCATTTAGAGTGCTGCTATTGGCCCCTGACCGTGTAAATCGCCTGTCGTGCATGTTTGTGATGGCTTGCATCTGGCTCTGCATACAGCGACAAACAAGTCACTGTTGGCCGGTGTCGCATAAGGCATGCTAGTTGATGTAAATACTCATCCAGCTGACCTTCACTAAGAACCCTAGTGTAGTTGTCTAAGTGTGGATTGCTTCGACTCTGCGTGCGGTGATCTGGCATTACACGTGACAGCAGTAATAACAACTGGCTTATGTCACTAGTCTTCAATTTCTAAGCCAGCAAATCTACGTACATATCCTATGCATTAGTGACTCATCCCATTCATATAGTAGTCTAGACAGGAGTAGTCTGAGACGAATCATGAAGGAAAGCACTACGACGTAAGACACTGTCGTTTTCGCTCACTCACAGAACAAGAGCACTACATCAAGAAGGACATCGTGTCATCGATCATATCGGCAGCCAGCAGGAAGAAGATTAAAAAGAAGGAGCCCGCGCCGCGGCAGTACTACGTGTCCGATGACAGCGACATGAGTGAGATATTCAGCGAGCGCAACATCGACCAGGAGATTGAGCTGCGCCAGCGGAGCCGGCCGGCGGGCGGCAGCGGCGGCGGTGGTGGTGGCAGCAGCAGCGCGCGTGGCACGGCCGTGGGCCAGCGAGGTGCACTGGAGAGCCAGAGCTCGACGGACACGGGCGTGTCATCGTGGGCATCGCCACCCCCAGCCACCCCCACGGACTCCTCGACGAAGGCCTCCTCACGCCAGAGCTCATCCAGTTTCACCTCGACGCGGAAAGGTAAGTTTGAGGCAGGGTGAGAGTAGTTAGTGGAGTTGGGTAGCGTAGGGTAGAGCGTAGGTGGGAGTAACGAGTAACAGGAGTAGGTGCAGGAAATGAGTCAGGGTACAGAGTTGTTAGCGTGGGACAAGGGTAGGTTTAGGGCAAGTGTGTCTACAGTGGCTTCAACCGCTATTCATTCTGCAATCCGATCTATTCAGCCTTGCTACCCGCGTTGCTTCTCCTCGCAATCTCACGTCCCCCCTTGATTTCCTATCGCTCAGGTTCTCAAAGCTCCGATGTCAAGTCTCCCGAGGAGAGTTCCGACGAGACGTCGCTGCGCTCCTCTTACTCGATCAAGTGGCCGTCGCCGTTCACTCGCTCCTTCACGACGTACCACAACAACAAGCAGGTGGCGAGCCCGCGCGCGCGCAAGTCCTCGCAGCCGGACGACGCCGTCGCCGCCGCCGCGTCGTCGATCACCAACGTCATCCTGCGGCGCCAGTGCGACGACCGCCTCAAGCGCGACGCCGAGCGCAAGAAGGTCGAGAAGGAGTGGCAGCGTCTGAAGGAGGTCCTCGCGCGCGAGGACGACGACGGCGCCGGCGGCGGAAAGTACGACGCCTTCAACACGAACGCGAACAGCAACGTCGTCGAGGAGCGGCCGCCGCCGCGCCGCTGCCGCGCCGACTCCGCCTCCGACTACTCGACGACGTCGTCGTCCAACAACGAGTTGTCGCAGGCGGCGGCGGCGGCGGCGGCGAACGCGCGTTCGTCGTCGCCGTCGCTGCCGCGCGCGCGCGATCACCGCGCGGGCGATGCCGGCACGTTGTGCGCGACGTCGGACTACAACTCGCTGTCGAGCACGGGCAGCGAGCATCAGCTACGCGCGACGACGACGAGTCGAGCGCGTACGAACTCGCTCGACTCCGGCGCCTCGATGGAATGCGTCTTCGCCGGCAAGAAGTCGGCGTCGGCGTCGCCGCGGCGACCGAATCGCGCGCTGCAGCGCTCGATGCCGCACGGGCGAGACGCCGAGTCGCAACAGCCCGCCCACCATGGCTCCCTGGACTCCCTGTGCAGGGAGCATCACAGCATCCGCTCATCGGCCTCCTCCGTCTCCGAGGACGGAACAGAGCTGCTTAACACTGCTAGCTTCGATCAGAAACTAAAGATCCTGTTAGACCCAAAGTACAGGCTCGGCGACGCCAGTCTTGAACTGACGGGCAGCAACCGACCGTGCAGACATGGCGTTTCGGTTCCGTCGAAATCCGAGAAGACAGCGATGAACCTGGGCAAGCGCGAGGCGCAGAAGCGAAAGTCTCTGTCACCGCAGCTGCAGAGGAAGGCGCCCAACAAATCTTGCGTGAAGCGGCGCCACACAGTAGGGGGAACCGCGTGGGCGGCCGTCGAGTCCACTTACAACTTTAACAACTCGAAACTTTCTGACTCGCAGGAGAAGGAGAAGGTGTACATCAACACAACTCACATAGTGGTGGCAGAAGCTAGGATGGTACCACCGATCCGAGAGCAGAGAAGTTGCAAGTATTTGCCACAGCAGGCCTCTGTCATACATTTGACACCCCAGCTGAATATGGAGTCAAGTGTATAGCTGCTTTCAGCGAAATTGTGTTGCTCGTCTGCCACTAGCATCTTGCTGCATAGAAAGACGTTCAGCTGGCCACCACCGTGAAGCAATATTGAGACTAGCTATATATCGCATTAAAGTTACATATCACAGCCAAGACAGAAATATGCGAGTAGAGCGTGTTTATTTCACTAAGAGAGAGTGAATCATGCGCGGATTTGTGTGCACTTTTACCCAACTAAATGTGCGGCATGTGCTTTATAATTAGATTCTACTTACTGTACAGATTGTGCTATTGGAGTGACTTCCTATACTAATTATGTGAGCTCATGTGCGACATTCGCTTGTGACGTGATTTTGTCCACTAATGGGTCAACAACCTCGTGCCTGTGACGCAACTAACAGTATTGTGCCATGTTTTGGTGTGACTACTCAGTGGGGTGGGCACCTCAGACGTCACTAACTGTCCGGCGTCACTACTATCCACTCTGTGCTGTCTATGACTTGACTGTGTGAGCGTATGTTGATGGAATGCCAAGGCGACTGGTAGCTGGCTGGGATAGATAACTATAACTTGAGTAAAGGTTGACTATAGGTGGGTCTAGTGTGGCATGGTATTGTGAAGTGCAGTGACACTCCCAGTGGGCCAAGCAGCTATGTACTGCAGGTCGACAGGTTGAGTGACAGTTCCTAAAGCCCCGACGATAAACTGTTTAAAATGTCGTTAAATTTATGGCGGTTGGCCAGTAATTGTGCAATTTGGATTTATTTTTCTTGATGAAAATGTATCTATTTTATATGCATTGTCTCTATCACTCGTTTGGATCTGATCATTGTGCCGATAGCGAAATGCAGTACATGTGGAAATACTGTGAGAAATTGGTTTTTACATGATGCTACTGTTGTATAACCATGAAAGTGGAGTTTTGATATGTACCATAAGACAAATCAGATTTTCGTACGTGAGCAGGATTGTTTGAAATTTCATGTTTTATGCTATAGATGCAGAAAAGTTTCCTCATGAGTTGTGCCAAAGTTCTCTTTAGTAGTTTGGTTGTTTTCTTTCTGTATGTTGAGGCAGCTAACAATTTCCAGCCTCTATGCGCTTTCTGCCGAGCATGTCTAATCGTAGCCCTTAATCTACCATATCAGTGCAAGACAGACCAATTCCTCATGCTAACATTGGATGCACATCACCCACGTGCGACCATAAAGTAAAAATTGGAAATATGTGATAAATGTGTGTGAGTACTTCAGGTACTTAGCATAGGTTGCTTGGCAGCTTGTAAATGCTAACAATTTCACCACCTAGTGGGCATCGTCATGGGTGTGTGGGAAACGTGCTGCAGCTAGGTAGGAAATACTAGTTGTACTTGTAGTCTGCTTACTAGATAGAATAATACCTAACCTTGAAACGTAAAAATTAACACACTGCCTCAAGCACGAGACATGGAGCAATGAATTTTTAGCAGTCAGGAGTTTTAGTATCACTGCAATACGTTTAAATTGTGTGTATATATAAAATTGAATAATTTTCTGAAGTAGGTTCACGTTGCAGAGTTTATTTGTCACACCGTTTTGTAGACATCATTGTCCTGTTGTAATTTATTGGCGACGTTTGAGGAGTTGTTTTACAGCCACGTTTTATAAACTAGATGAGATTTTATTATTAATTAAATTGTTCATTATGGTCCAACAAGGATCAGTACACTAAGTGGGTGCTTTTTGTGTAATAATGACGATCATGATAATAATGATATTAAACAGTTAACATTATCAAGTCAAAACATACTGTATACAAAACCAATTCACAGGCATGTTAATTTAATATAACAATTTTTATTCATTTTATAAAATATCTGATACCAGATTGTTCTATAAAATAGACAGACAATATATTATTAATAAAATTATGAAAAACTTAGTTAATATCACAAGCTCAGATCATATGTACTCAGATTCCAATGCCATGTTCAATGATCAGCTACACAGAAGAAAAAGTAATCGTATCAAAACTGTCTATACCATCTGCATTTTGAACTCATTTCAAACAGTGGGACAAAACATTTTTAAATACATAAATTTATACAATACGTAATTTACTATTTAACTGCTGATTTAGCACGATTTAAATGTGAATGAACCTGTGTGAACTTGGCATGTTGCAGCCCAAGAAAGCATTTATTATTCTGTACGTTTAAACTTGGCACAAACAATTCCATAGTAGAAAATGAATAAGTACACATGTAGCCTAACTAGGATCAATATTGAAATTTAAAAGTGCCTGGTTTTGCTCCTTGTCTAGGAAGCATTCTGTTGTGGCACATAAACTACCATTCACATGCGCACACATTCTTGTGATACCAATACTAAATTGCACGAGTCTTCTGTAGATTCTCTACCTCTGCAGTACTATAACCCAAAACCTGATGTAGAACTTCAGATGTGTGCTGTCCTAGACATGGCGGAGGTAGCCGTGCTCTATTCTGACTATCACTGTATTTAACAGCTGGCCCTGAAAATAAGCAAATAGTTATTACTCTCCATGACACAATCCTACTTTGCCCTTTGGCACTGTTTGGCAACAGCTAAACCCTTTTCAGCTCGCTATACATTTCAGCCGATGCTTCCACATACACTGCTGTTTTTATGAGGCACTACTATTTACAAACCCACTGCATAGTGTACGATTGAGTGATGATGATTTATGGTCCAGCTATACTTGCCTGGCAGCCTTATCTTTCCCGCAGTGGAATGTTCCATTTCAACTATCATTTCATTATGTAGAACCTAAAAACGATCAACATAATGGTAAGGGACAAATAAATCACTATCATGACCAAGAATGAGCTACAACAATTCTACAGCATATAATTTAATGACGAGCGTAAAACGCAATATTGCTTGCTTACTGTATGCATACAGATATCAAAAACGAAGTATTTTCTGCAATGGTTAGGAACCAAGACATATTACCATGGATTTACCTGCGGATCACTGAAAACTTGTTGCATGTTATTAATTGGCCCATAAGGAATGCCAGATTCATCGAACACTTTGAGCCAGTGGGCTGTTGACTGTTCACGGAACTTTGTTTGCAGTGCTTTTAATAGTGATGATCGGTTTATCACTCTGTCTTCATTTCTAGCATACTGTGGGTCATCAGCTATATGTTCCAACTTCAAGCGCTGTGCGGTCAGTAAAAAACAATTACTGGCTTATTCATGAAGATTAACTATACGTTGTTTTTTACATTTACAAACAAATCGCATGTCCTCACTGATCATGGGCACTTAATATAGAATATTTTTTATTATTGCTGTACCGTATTATAAGAAAACAAACAATAGCAAGGAAACCTGGCATAATATCTTGAATTGTTTATCGTTGCCTGCTCCTACCACAAAGTAGCCATCTTTTGTCTGAAAAGCCTGGAAGGTGCAATACAAAATATGTACGAATCCTCAACATACAACCAAATATTAATTTATGAATTTTAATAACAGCACATTGTCAAAATTTGAACTAATGCTATTCTTGTTACAAACTATCTGATTAATGACAAAAAAACGTTCCAGCAAATAGACTGGTGGTTGGCTACCTGCATGAACAGTTTGGCCAGTTCCATTGCAACAGAACCCTAGACAGTTGATTGGTTTCTCATCACTAATATCGTTTGTAATTAATATGTTTCTAAGTACCTGATAAGGGACAATGCTCTCGTGGGCAGTTCCCCATCGCCGTGCCTCCGGACCACCATTTAGATAGTTGCTAGCTAAATTGGCCAAGCAGGACACCTATAACACGTGTATAACTCTTTGTAAGGTTTTCTATTGGGTCCCTATAATATATCACAAAATCTGTTTTGCCAAAAAAGGATTAAAGGTATTTTTTGGCCCAAGTGAAATCATTTATCAATTGTAATGCTCACTTGATGATGGTTATTATAAGACCATATCTATATTTTGTATTGATCCATGTAATCCGAGCTGCTGTGAATCTGATAACAGCTGGGTTACGAATATTAAGGTAACATTCGTATTTAATAATGAGATTTACCTGTGTTGATAAAAGGTTGCAGTCAATATGCTGTCCCTCTCCAGTCCTGTGCCGCTGTAGAAGTGCAGCCATTATAGCACCATGGGCATACAGACCAGTTGACAGATCAGTCATAGCCACTCCAACTTTGCAAGGCTCCCCACCCTAACAGCAGTAGATGCAAAGCATAAATAACAGTTGCATGATCTATTTGTGCAAATAGTTGGGCAAGTCTTGAGAAGTGACCAGCGAGCAAGATTATAATGATTATAATGTTTTCTTACTCTCCATGCATTTACTGTCACATTTTATGCATTTTACTATACGCTTTAGCTTTTGGTCAGGTAATTATGTTTAAACAAGTGGTAACATATTTAAAACCGTGTACATTGGCCTCGCCGTTGTAGTTACTAGCATGCACGTTACTACTTTACGGACTACCACCAACTCTACACACCATAATAACAATAGTTACATTAATTATAAGAATACAGAAAACAATTAAACTACTTAAAGGATCTAACCACTCTTACATAAACCCTGTTTATTCGAGTTCCATACTTTTAAGTTATATAGAAATATTACCACATTCTCTATACGTTGGGCATCACTTTCACACACAAATTTTGTGAACATGTATCATTCAAGCTTACTGGTACCAACTACTGATTGATGAAGTATGGCCCAGAAAACCATAGACTAAAAAATCAAGGCATTATACTACACAGGAAGTAGTTTATCATCTTAATGGGTGTATTTTTCAGGTTATAGACTAGCCTCACACTTACTTCAGGACCAGTAATGTGCAACAATCCACCAACTGCTGCAGCAATGACATCATATCCTGCCCTAGTAGCATATGGTCCATCACTCCCATAACCTGCCAAAATTCTCACTTCATATTAATAAAAGCAGTTTCGACCACACTACAATGAAAATTAAAGTGTAACACTTAGGTACTCTAGCTTTTAGTATAATATTTAAGATAAAATAGTATTTCTTTTTTGATGTACAATAGTAATGGGTGTTGGAATTTTGATTTTAAAAACACCTGACCCTGATGTGTGTATATTAGTAGCATGCATATAGCATAATATAAAGCCGTATCCGTAAAGCAGTGCAACAGATTTGCATCTTGCTAATTCATTAAACTCACCACTTATGGAGCAGTAGACAAGATGCGGTGCAACTTCTTTAAGCTGGGAGTAACCAAGCCCCATTTTCTGCAGTTTTCCAGGCACATAGTTCTCAACAAAAACATCAGACTTGGTAGCGAGCTAATGAATAAAAAATACATTCAGTACTAATCAACTGGCATATACATACTCTGAACATTCAAGCTATCTATCATTTGCATTTCTGAAATGTTCCCGTTTCACTTTTTTTTAACTTGCCACAAGGTACCACTCTTGCGTTTGTTGCACCGTTTTTACAGCCTACCTTAGTAATATCGGGAGTGTATAATATAGTGTAATATCATACACTAATTATATTCTACTGACGAAATTCTTAGTTTAAATACAGCAATATATAAAACTCAGACTTTACCCTAATCTTTAGTGTTGACAAGTTTAATGCTACTCATCTTGATAAAAATGTTACACTGTATATTCAAAATGCATCTACTTACGCTGAGAGGGTCTATGTCCCCCGGGGTACTGCCGGAGCGTACCCTGGTACTATCTAATATGCCGGACGGTACCTCGCCTACTCCACTAATGAGTCTAGGGAGTCGCCTACACCTACTCCCTAACCCTAACCCAAACCCTAATCCTAACCCTAACCCTAATCCTAACCTTAACCATATCAAATAGTGACCAGGGTGTACGTTCGGTATACCGGACCGTACCAGGGTAACGTTCCGGCAGTACCCTGGGGGACATAGACCCTATGAGCTCTACTTACTCAATAGTGAAAAAATGTTGAATATTTAGCTAATCTAATTTAAAACTATATTATGTGTGTACCACCTTCTGGGACATAGAAAGGAATGACCAGGTATCACATTACTCATGCTAATTAACCTATACTACTTATTTCTGGCATCTAGCAGCACTTTTTAAAATTTCTGACAGCTTTGTATTAATTGTAGGAACACACCTGATATCATAGAGTGCTTGCGTGTTTAGAGTATATATATGTTCATGCTGCTAGTAATAGTTTTGTCTACATAAAACTAATGAGTTCTATTTGTAACAAACTACTATTAGAGCATCAAATTAACATGTGTTTCATACCTCTTTTATTAGCTGGACACCAGCTGGATTCTTGATGTCTATGGTCAAACTCTAAATGGAAAATATATAGCTATAGTCAGGTTCATTGCACGACATGTATGTCCTTTGTTGTGAATATGATTATTTTAAATCCCATATATATACAATAAGAAATATACCATTTATTTTTATAAAAAAGACATTCACATTAACATAATTTAAAGGCCTATACTTCATAAATCTTACGTATTTATTTCTTGTTATTCGCAACGTTTCATAAAAAACGAAATTAAATTGGGTGAGTTAGTTTTGCAATATTGGTGACCTTTTTTACATTTATGAATAAAACAACATATGATTTTCAACTATTAAATCAACATTATTCATTATAGATAGCTAAATAGAATCTTGTTATGTGATATCATCTAAAAAATACCTTTTTATTCTGTTAACGAACAGAAGAAAGTATGCACTTCGTCTGTTCGCAAGGAAAGGTGGTCCCCACCTCCTTGTGTCATCCCTTTCACCTAATAAGATGGG